CTGTCCTGTGCTACTCCCTTTAGCTTTCTAGCTACCTGCGTCCTGCTAGTCCCTTTAGCTTTCTGCTACCTGTGTCCTGTGCAAGTCCCTTTAGCTTTCTAGCTACCTGTGTCCTGTGCTAGTCCCTTTAGCTTTCTGGCTACCTGCGTCCTGTGCTACTCCCTTTAGCTTTATAGCTACCTGCGTCCTGTGCTAGTCCCTTTAGCTTTCTAGCTACCTGTGTCCTGTGCTAGTCCCTTTAGCTTTCTAGCTACCTGTGTCCTGTGCTAGTCCCTTTAGCTTTCTAGCTACCTGTGTCCTGTGCTAGTCCCTTTAGCTTTCTGGCTACCTGTGTCCTGTGCTAGTCCCTTTAGCTCTCTGGCTACCTGTCCTGTGCTACTCCCTTTAGCTTTCTAGCTACCTGCGTCCTGTGCTAGTCCCTTTAGCTTTCTAGCTACCTGCGTCCTGTGCTAGTCCCTTTAGCTCTCTGGCTACCTGTCCTGTGCTACTCCCTTTAGCTTTCTAGCTACCTGCGTCCTGTGCTAGTCCCTTTAGCTTTCTGGCTACCTGCGTCCTGTGCTAGTCCCTTTAGCTTTCTAGCTACCTGCGTCCTGTGCTAGTCCCTTTAGCTTTCTAGCTACCTGCGTCCTGTGCTACTCCCTTTAGCTCTCTAGCTACCTGCGTCCTGTGCTAATGTGTTAATGAGTTCTTGGTTTTGCTCTTTTTGTTTTTTTCCACATATAGACAGTAAATAAAAATACTTCATTATAGAACTATTACAAAGAAAGTTTCATATTTTCATAAAAAAAATTTAAACCAACATTGAAAATTAAAGTTTGCAACAAGCATTTATTGAAGGTCGGGGAAAAAAGCAGTTAGCATATCTGCAGACCCCACACATCCTGGACACAAACCGCCTAAACTTTTACCTTCCGGTCAGTTTCATGTTGTTTCTGATGTACAAAATAAACACATTCAGCACATGCAGTGTCACAATCTGTCCTTTAATCATACATACATTCATATACATATCATTCGTTTCATTCATTTTCTCTCTAAAGTTTGTAAATGTATATTTAACGTCAGTAAGCTCTGTTAGTACAATTCTTTCTTCATGCAGAAAATCTTGACCATGAAATCTAATAGAAATGTGAAACATTAAATAATAATTAGCTGTGAAGTACATGAAAATAAAATGAGAAAGTTTAGAAACAGAAAGAGGGGAAAGAAACCAACTTTAACAGAGAACCAGAAGTTACTTTGTGTTGCTGAAAGCAGCTTGGAGGAAGACAGGATGGTGACGACAGAGTGCAGGATGGTGACGACAGAGTGCAGGATGGTGACGACAGAGTGCAGTTCTACGCTTGTACAGCAGGTGGCAGCATTGCCGCTTTATTTGCTTTGTTATGCATCAGTAAGCGTTTGGTTTATGATGAGAAAAAACGAGGAACTGTTACGTAACGTCCAGGTTTTCTCTTTAAAACTGCCAACATTCTTCTAATTATCTGATTTTTTCTTTCGGTTTTGGTTCCGAGTCATTAGTTCGGTTCCCTGTTGACATCCAGTTTCTCCATAACAAAGGAAACTTGTGTAAAACCTTCAGAAATAACGGGATCCGGAGAGGAGCCCCCGAGCAGTGAGGAAATGTAAGCCTCAAACTTTTCTCAGTCAGAAAATATTTTTCTTTGCTGCATTTATTTATCGGTGTTTATATTGACTTAACTTTCTCCAACAGTTAAATGTGTGACTAAGTTTAAGTTTAGAGAAATGTAACTCTGTCCATTGAGCTTCATTAATCATCTCTAGTTTTAAACCACAATACCTACATGATAATAATAGTAGATTTTTCTACTAATTACTGAATTATTTGAACACAGTTTGTGATTGAACCTTTAATTTATTAAATGTTTATTATAAAGCCAGGTTAATTATTTCACTATTAAACTACGTCTGAATCCTTGAGCTCTAAATTTTTAAACAAATAGAGAAAAATTCAAAGAAAACTTCAAACAGGCTTAAAGGTGTGTGTGTGTGTGTGTGTGTAGGTGTGTGTGTGTGTGTTATGTGTGTGTTTAGGTGTGTGTGTGTTTGCGTGTGTGGGTGTGTGTTTGTGAATGTGTGTGTGTGTGTTTAGGTGTGTGTGGGTGTGTGTGTGTGTTTGTGAGTGTGTGTTTAGGTGTGTGTGGTGTGTGTGTGTTTAGTGTGTGTGTGTGTGTGTGTGTGTGTGTGTGTGTGTGTGTGTGTGAGTGTGTGTGTTTAGGTGAGTGTGTGTGTTTAGGTGTGTGTGGTGTGTGAGTGTGTGTGAGTGTGTGGTGTGTGTGTGTGTGTGAGTGTGTGTGTGTGTGTGTGTGAGTGTGTGTGTGTTTAGGTGTGTGTGTGTGTGTGTGTGTTTGTGTGGTGTGTGTGTGTGTGTGTGTGTGTGAGTGGTGTGTGTTTAGGTGTGAGTGTGTGTGTTTAGGTGTGTGTGTGTGTGTGTGTGTTTGTGAGTGTGTGTGTGTTTGGGTGTGTGTTTAGGTGTGTGTGTGTGTGTGTTTGTGAGTGTGTGCGTGTGTGTTTAGGTGTGTGTGTGTGTGAGTGTGTTTGTGTGTGTGTTGTGTGTGGGTGTGTGGGTGTGTGTGTTTGTGAATGTGTGTGTGTGTGTTTAGGTGTGTGTGGGTGTGTGTGAGTGTGTGTGTTTAGGTGTGTGTGTGTGTGTGTGTGTGAGAGTGTGTGTGAGTGTGTGTGTGCGTGTGTGAGTGTGTGTGTGTGTTTAGGTGAGTGTGTGTGTTTAGGTGTGTGTGTGTGTGTGTTTAGGTGTGTGTGTGTGTGTGTTTGTGAGTGTGTGTGTTTAGGTGTGTGTGTGTGTGTGTGAGTGTGTTGTGATTGTGTGTGTGTTTAGGTGTAAGCGCGTGTGTGTTTGTGAGTGTGTTTAGGTGTGTGTGTGAGTGTGTGTGTTTGTGAGTGTGTGTGTTTAGGTGTGTGTGCGTGTGGTGTGTGTGTGTGTGTGTGTGTGTGTTTAGGGTGTGTGTGTGTGCGTGTGTGTGTGTGTTTAGGTGTGTGTGTGTGTGGTGTGTGTGTTTGCTTCTATATTTACAGTGAGTTTGAATCGTCAGATTATACAGATACTTTCTATCATCACTTATCGGTGGATGTTTCAGAAACAGTCCGTGTTCTGAAGTTTTGATTGTTTTTTTCCTTAAAAATAAAATTCAGACAAGATAGTTTAAAATCAAACAGACTTGACACTCTTTGCCACTTTTGTTCATTATTATGATTCACCATCAGAACTGCTACCAAAATAAACCTTTGTTTATTGTCCTTATTATTGGAGGTAATTAGTTTCTAATAGTGCTGACATATTTAAGGCGGGTACATTAATTTCTTTTGAATTCACATGTTTCCAGGATCTTATGAATATTAACAGGAAGAACAAGAAAGAAGAATTGATGTCCCCAATAATTTCACAGCTGTGACTCCAACCAGAAGGCCTCTCACCAATCATTCCTCTGAGGAGGAAACAAGCAGCTCAATGGATCTGAGTGCTTCTCCTTCCTTTTCCAGCAAGCAGCTGAAAAAGTACAAATCAGCACAATTGATAGAATATCAGTAGCAAAAGTTACTCCTGATGGTGCTAAACTTCATTCTTCTGCTGTTTTCCAGACAAAGGATGATGAAGGCCAGAGCCAGTCACCAAGTTTCTCCAGTGGCTTCAGTTTGAATCGTGTCGTCAATCAACAGCTAAAGAAAACCGACAAAGACAAACGACGAGAAAATGTAGAAAAGCTTCAAGATCTATATGAAGTAGATGAAATACAAAGACATCCCAGAAAATTACCAAGATCAAAAATAAGCAGATATAAATCAATTCCTTCTGCAATCAAAGATTCTACAGATTTACCAACAAGTGGAAGAAAAACCAAAAAACCTCGTCTCAGGAAGAAACTTGTAAAAGCCTTGGAGCAGACAGAAGATCTTGCAGCTGATGAGGATCAACTTAAACAAACTGAAGAACCTGACCAATTTGCAGGCCCACAGATACCTTTACCTGACCAACAGCCTCTCACCAATCATTCCTCTGAGGAGGAAACAAGCAGCTGCAGCGCCACCAGCAGGGGAGCTCGTTTAAGATATAAGAATGTTTCTCCTTCATATGATCCAACTCAGAGCGACTCCATCCCAAACAGATCAGCCTCTACTGATCTTCTCCTCCCTTCAGCATCTGGTTTGAGAAGAAGAAACCGCAGCAACTCGTCTCCTTCTCTGATTCATCGGGATCCTCCTCTAGACGTCAGTAGACCAGATGCTAACCCAATGTTATACCGAAAAACTGCCAGGAGAAGGAGACTTTGTTTTTCAAAGTTTCAAAAAAGACCAGATCATCTGTATGGATCTGGATCTGCTGATCACATAGCAAAGTGTCATCTGAACGGTTAAGGTTAAGAATATGTCCACCTCGAGCTCCACTTCCAGGCTCAATACTTCAAAGTGAAACTGAGGAAATAACAGAAACCAATAAGGGAACACCAAGACAGCCTGAAACCGAGTCAGTCGGGTCTGTTTCTTCAACAAATAGAGAAGAAGGAGGCAGTAGTTCATATTCTTCCCAGTCTCCCTTTGAGACTAGGAACGTTGTCAGGCCTACTTCTTTATTTTGTCCTTTGTTTTATCCTTTGGATTTTTCAATGTGCAGCCTCAACTCTTCGCTCACAGATACTTCCTCTACTGAAACCAAGAACCAAGGAAGGTTTTGTTCATTAACTAAAGTATCTGCATCAGGAGCTGCACGGACCCTCCCACCCCTCCCAACCCTACGACCCCCCGCCCCTGCTCTCTCTTTACCCCCCAACGTATCGTCACCAACTGTAACCTCTGCATCCACTGCAGATACGTCTTCAGCGAACCTCGACTTTCTCTCTTTCTCATCAAGATGAATCACACAGTCAGTATGTGGGACCTTTCAGTCAATCTGGGGCTTCTTATATCCCCGCCTTTGTTCCACAGAGTGAGAAACGTTTCCACAGAAAGGCCTCCAGAACCTTTTGACCTGCTAGAACCGCCGTGCTTAAAATACAGCAGACAAGATACAGCAGGAAACCAAGATGAAATAATGGAGTCGGTTGGACATGTGAGCGACTCTGTCCCAAACAGATCAGCCTCTGCTGACCTTCTCCTCCCTTCAGCATCTGGTTTGAGAAGAAGAGACCGCAGCAACTCGTCTCCTTCTGTCCTCTGTCCTCTGATTCATCAGGATCCTCCTCCAGACGTCAGTATCTTACCCCGAGCTGCTAGTTTACCCAGCATGAAGCTCCAAAGCAGCTTTGAGGAGTTTACTCCTGGTTTCTGTGGAGATCCAGATGATGAAACCTACCGGTTCCAGTGCTCCGGTCCAGGCCTGTACCAGTGCAGAGTGAGCGGCCTGGTGTTTGCCATGAAGGGAGGAGGAGACGTGTTTTACAGGGTTGTTCCCTGGAACAGGACATTACTGAGCCCACATGGCAAGAAGCCTGCAGGACCTCTGTTTGACATCAGCTGCCTGCAGCAGTCTGTGGCTCAGCTTCATCTCCCTCACTGTGAGGTCCGCTCCACTGGACCATGTCACTTCCTGTCAGTCGCTCATCTCCATGACGGAGGCGTGGAGTTCATCAGGCCTGAGAGGATCACAGAGACTCACATCATCATCAGCATCTCAGGGTTTTCTGCTTTTGGGAACGTCAAGGATGAGGATTCTCCTGCTGACCCGGTCCGAGCCTTGGTTCTGCTGTTCTACAGACCTGCAGCTGATCCTGAGTCAGAACACGAGATTAATGTGTTGATGCTGCCAAAGAACGTTGTTCTCACCAATGTGCTGCGTTTCAGGAGGAAATTAGACGAGAATGAAAGATTCCTGGAGACGCCTCCAGACTGCAAACTGCAGCCGAATCAGGTTTACTCTCTGTCTGTCTCTCCTGGTGGCGACTCGGTTCTGGTTCAGCCCAAAGAAGCCGAGTTTGATGCAGAATCCTATGAAAAAACTACGTCTCAACGTTCCAGGTGGTTTATGAGGAAATGATGAAACACATCAGACTGTCTCTGACGGACAGCAGCTCCTGCAGCGTCTGGGAGAGACGGGTTTGTCTTTCTGCTGCCGGAGTCAGAAGATCCTGTGGGCCGACTCGACAGAACCGCAGTCCAAAGGAGCAACTGATGGAGATAAGGATCAACTTCAAGGATGGAGTATCAGGACCGGTTCTGCAGAGTCTGCTGGACAATCTGCTGGAGAAAAAAGTCATCAATGATTCAGAGATGGAGGAGGTGGCGGCGGAGAGAACCAGAGGAGAAAAAGCTCGACTTCTAGTCGACACGGTGAGGAGGAAAGGAGATGATGCAAGTTCAAAGATGATCCACTTCCTCTGTGAGCTCGACCAACACTTCTCTGAATATTTGGAACTGATGTGAGGAAGAATCAGGCAGAGTGTAAAAACTACTGTTGAGACTAGAGAGACTTAAGACAAACAGGAAGCATCACATTTTAAAGAAACTGAGCAGTAAAGGAGGATCTGCCCTTCAAAACGATAACGACTCAAAACTACAACCTTAGAATGGATGAAATCGTGTCCAGGATGTGCGGGGTCTGCAGTGATATTAACTGCCCTTTTATTTAGTTTATAAGTAGTTAAAAATGATGTTAAGAAGTAGTTATTGTTCACATAGTACACATAGAGAGTGTGAGGTTACTTATGTTGAAATATCAGAACCGATCATACTAAGCAAAAAGTCATTCAGAAAACCTGTGGAAATGAGATTCAGACCTCAGTGGTCCAACTTGATCACACATTTGGCAGCAGATCTGATTTTTGTATGGATTTAATTGCTTGTTGTGTTTTACTATAAGTCCATGCTCTTATTGGAAGACTAAAGTTATCAATTATGAATAATTTGTCAAATAAAACATGTTATTTCTATATGTGAAATTAAAAAAACTGTTCCACACTTTAGATTAAAAATATTTACTCACATTTTTATTTACTACAGATGTTATTGTTCATATGAATGGTCAACATTTCCTTAAACATACAATTATCTAAATGTTCAAATCAGTGTTTTAAACTTTAAGTCAGATATTTGTATCATGTATTTTTTTAATTATATGTTCTGTTGAAATGATGTAAACTGGCTCATTTGATAGACCATCATCTTGAGTATGATGCTATTATCCCCCGTTCACATTGATGGGTCACAGTGTGTCTGCATGAATGGTTATAACTGACACATATAAAAACACACAGAAATGTTAAATAAATACTGGAATAAATAAATTCATGATTTCCTCAATATTTATTTTTAAAATTGTGAAAACATGGAAGTAATTAGAATTTCTTAGTGGATGTATTTCTGATATTACTTGTATTTACGCCTATTTACTTTTACATTGAACTGTTTGTATTCAATGCTGACATTTAAATGTCTAAATATTCTTGAACATAAATTAAAACAAGAAAAATAAGTTGATGCGCTTGTGTTCTACCTTTACGCACTCTTAGATGAGAACATGAACGCAGCATGAAACGTCATAATGACTTAAGCCAATAGTTTTTCGAGGAGGTGTGGCTTAATGAACTGGTCGACCCTCTTCAGGCTGACAGTTTCTGAGCCTCAGTCCTCTAACATTCAGTTTAAAGCAGAGTGTTTTAGCCGGTTGTGTTGGGAACGGGACGGTTTCATGATGTTTATCATTAACTGACTGATCTTCCTGCTGAAAGCGGCGTTGTTTCATCTGCTGAAGCTCCCAGCGGAGCTGTCAGAGGGCAGGAGGTGGTGGAGGAAGGAGAGTCGCTGCATTCAAAGCCGCCATGAGTTTTTACAAGCAACTTGTATCTGTTGATAACAGCAATTAAACCCAAATGGGTTGAAATCCAGCAACATAACTTAGAAAATAGTAGATTGTTTGAGAAATTGTAGTTGGTTTGATTATCAATAGCCTACCTTCAGATGAATTTATATTTTTACATTGACAAATGTGAGAACAAAGGAAACCTGCCCGCATGTCTCTGCTACAGGGCCTAGGTTTAATCTCAAACTGCTATTGGATACGATGTAGATTTCGCTGGCCTATCACAAGACACCACACTCTGAGACCCTAGCATCGGCTTCAGTGATTGGACGAAACGTTTGGCGCCTCTTGAATCTGCAGCAGTCGGAGTGGGCGGCGAGTACGAGACAGTTTGAACCTGCTCCGCGTCGAGACGGAAATATTGAAAATAAACTGTTGATTTCAGGAAAGACGGAGTTAAATGACAGCAGTGTCCGTCAAAACAAGCCTCAGTGTTATCGCAAAAGGTCCACATTGAGGCGTGGGAACAGAAGCTTTTGCTGTTTAACAGCCGGTCGGTGTTGTAAAGCCGGCTGTCGCGCTTAGAGTCGCTGCCTCCTGCTGAGCTAACTGCTAACTAGCTGCGGAGCTAACGCGTCGGCTAAGTCCCACACAAAGAGCCGCTCTCCCCAGTGTTCGTCGTGTTTACCCGGAATCACTGCGCTGAATGAGGCCAGAGCCTGTCGTCCAGGTGAGAGGAGCTGTCAGTGCTGGTTTTGCTTGTTTTCGCCGTATTTTCTGAGGTCCAAACCGCCCGGGTTTGTTCTTGGTGCTTTGTTAACTGACCAACTGCTAGTTAGCACGCCGGGGTGTTCGAGACAAATTTGTACCCTGGTATTTATTAGTTACCCAGAAAAACGTACACATACACTGAGAGTTCAGTTAAATATGTAAACATTCCGATTTAACTTGACTGTATTTAACTTCTTTAAGTTGTTCGCAAAGAGAGGAAACCGAGTTTTTAGGGTACTGAGCCCGATATCTGCACGCTAAAGCTTCCTGGTTTGTTTGGAAAGTTCACCTTGAAACTATCTGACAGTCTTGCTCAATTATCCACCTTTCACCTCACGGGACGGTCAGACATTTCCTTTGGAGAGTTTGATTATTGCAGTCAGTTGAAGCTGAGAGAAATAAATCCTTATTTTCTTTACTTCTGATCTGTGAGGATCTGTGAGGCTGATCAACCTGTCAGCCAGAGACACACACTGGCTAGCTGACCCCAACCTTAACCCTACACTGGTACAGAACCATCATTTGTAAAGAAACGATCAAAATCCGGGTTCATAGTAATTATCATTTAGGGGAATAAGTAATAACTGTCTTTGACTCAGTTACAGATATTAATCAATGCAGGTTATTAATCACGTTGGTAAAATGAGTTTCCTAAGAAAACCCAGTTTATGGCATCAAGTTACAGCAGTTCCTCCTGAAGACAAGTTTGATTCTGACATTTAAATTCTTCAATGTTTTAAATATTTTAAAGCTCTTTAGAGGTTAGAAACACCTTATTGAGGGTGTTTATATGTTTTTTTTATGAAATAGAAATATACTAATTATAAATTTGCAGTGAACATTTAATGTGTCATCATAAATGGTTCAGAAGTCAACTGAGGTTTTTGTTTAAATGAAAAACAGCATATCTCCAGATTGATTTATTGTTAAACACATTTTAAAAGTATTTAAGTGTAACTACGTAATTACTTCCTGTATGATTTCACAATGTTAGGAAACCATGTAGTTGCTATAACATTGTTAGATATTGAGATATTGATTACCTTTTCTCTCCTGCCTTCCTTGCTGTTTGGAGTTTCTGCAGATCTCTTTACTCTTGGGTGACTTTGCCTTTTTCAATCCCAACATATTTATCCCAACATAAAATTAAATCTCGTAACTCAAATACTCCAAATATCTTCAGAGTCGTTAAGAGTTGTGATGCCGTGGGGAAAACGAATCTCCAGTATCGCAACAAATCAGAAGACATCATCAGAAGACAGTAACCTGTCCAGTTACTGCTAATCCACTTCCTTTACTTTAACTCTCCGTCTGACCTTATTGGTATAAAGATGTTGGAGTCGGGGATGTGACCCTTTGTCATTATGAAGGACAGAAAAGATGGGTTTGAACTTCCTCCTGCTCTCTCTGCATCCATAAATCCTCATTTTCAACATCTCTGGGGTCAAAGTTCAGTTCATCAGCTGCTTACATCAGTAAAATCACGAGTCTGTGCTTGGAACATAATATGAAACAGCGACGCTTCAGATGATCTGCTGCAGAAACACGTGACAGGAAACGTCCTGAAATAAGCCGACACTTCCTGCTACACTTCTCATTAGTGCGGAGTGTCTGACGTTGGAACAAGCTGCTAAATATAAATATAAAACTGAGAAACCTTCTGCTTTAAAGCACTGTACACACAGACTTTATATTTGTATAGTTTTAAAATTAAAATAAAAGATAAATGTGATGCACTTTTCAGAACCAGAATAAAAACTTATCAAGAAATAATTTTGTTAAATTAAAAAATTGTGAAATCCCATCTTTTCAGACTCTTGAATGCAGCATGGTTGATTAAAAAAAGTTGTGAAGAGTCAACAGAAGTGGTTTTAATTCATATATTTTCTCTATATTTCAGTTTTAGACCAACTGCGGCCTAGAAAAACATGAGATGTTCGTTACCTGGGTGATGGGAATCTCTGACGATCCAATCCATTTTATTTATAAAAAAAAACCTAAAGAAACAAAATGTTTACCCAAACTAAGTAATAAATATAAAAACATTAAAATCAGAATAAGATGCACTAAAGAAACCAATCAGCTGAAGCTCCTCTGATATGCAGACGTTAAGCGTCTGTTACAGATCCGACTCGTATCTCATTCCAGCCCGACGGCCAGACGGATTCAAAGAGGAGCGGCAAAAGCAAACGAGGTGGATCAGCAGAGCTAGCTAACATCAGATTGGTTCATATGGGATATTGTCTTTACTGAGACTGATGCAGCAATAGTTCAGGTCAATCAATCAAATTTTATTTGAAGCATTTTTCAGCAAAAAGCATTTTACATCATATGCTTCACATCATAAAAACATAAAAATACAGAGGCCTTCTCGTGTTCGTTGCAGCACTGACTGCTGCAGGAGATCCTGCATTTCACTTGTTGAACCAAGTTAAAAGCTACAACCGCAACTTCATGAGATGTTTGCTTTGGGTTGTAATATGACGAGATATGGGCTGTGAAAAACACCTGTTTTTCCTCTGTTTAGTAAACGTGAAGTGTATGTGTGTGTGTGTGTGTGTGTGTGTGCGTGCGTGCGTGCGTGTGTGTGTGTGTGTGTGTGTGTGTGTGTGTGTGTGTGTGTGTGCGCAGGGCGATCATGGTGCTGACAGGGAAGCGTTCGGACAAAGGTCCAGCCTGCTGGAAGAGGAGGGTGAAGTCTGAGTACATGAGGCTCCGGCAGCAGAAACGCTTTAGACGTGCTGATGAGGTCAAGGTGGGTTCACACTCTGACCTCTGACCTCTAGAAGCCTGAAGGCTACTGATGTTCAGCTAAGTAGATTTATTTTGCCTCCCCTGTTGAACTCATCTGGACCCGGGGCTCCCAGAAGGATCCAGGCAGGTTATTTATTTGTGATTATTAATAACCGCCTCTGCTGCAGAGCATGTTCAACTCCAACCGTCAGAAGATCGTGGAGCGGACGGACACTCTGAACCAGGAGTGGAAGACGCGGCGGATCCAGCCGGTCCACATCATGACGTCGGTCAGCTCGCTGCGCGCCTCCAGAGAGGTGAGCTGCCTTCCTGCTGACGGCGAGCGCCAGACCCACCGACCCCGACGTCCCGACCCTGACCTTCTGCTCTGCTCTCCCCTCAGTGCACCGTGGAGAGCGGCTTCTCTGAGTTTCCGCGGCAGGTGATCCCCCTGAAGACGCTGAACGCCGTGGCCTCGGTTCCGGTCATGTACTCCTGGTCGCCGCTGCAGCAGAACTTCATGGTGCGAGCGACTTCCTGTCGTCACGGCGCTGTTTCCTCCTCGGCCGTCTGTAACTCTGGCTCTCCTTCAGGTGGAGGACGAGACGGTTCTGCACAACATCCCCTACATGGGAGACGAGATCCTGGACCAGGACGGCACCTTCATAGAGGAGCTGATCAAGAACTACGACGGAAAGGTCCATGGAGACCGAGGTGAGCGGAACCTTCATCTGGTCGGCTTTAAACGGGCCGGATCGTCCAGGCCTTTTCTAAGGCCATGAACACATTCAGCAGAACCCAGAATGCCCTGCGCTGTAGTCCACTTCCTGGTTTGGAGCGGTCTCTGGTCCTCGTGGCGTTTTCATGCATTCAGAGGCAAAGAAAGAAAGTTTCTCTCTGGTTGTTTTTCCCAGAATGCGGCTTCATCAATGATGAGATCTTTGTGGAGTTGGTCAACTCCATGGTTCAGTACAGCGACAACGAGGATGACGAGGAGGAGGAAGAGCAGGACTTCAAGGTGGAGAAGATGGAGACATGTGACAGCAAGGATCAGCTGGAGGAAGGCAGCAAGGACAGACATGGCGGCAGCGAAGGCGAGTCAGCAACTTTCAGCCAATCAGACGCATTTAACTGCTGCAGCGTTTCTGTTTTCTCTCCATCTGCCCAGGTTTTGGTCGTTTTCATAATGAAGTGTGTGTGTGTGTGTCTCTGTGTGTGTGTGTCTCTG